GGACGGTGAACCACAAAGGCGCATGAACGCTACCATCTTTCAGATCACCAAAAGGGACGCCGACTTTTCGGATTTTGGGAGTGTTATAGCAGGGTTTAGGGCTTAGGTGTTTGCGGGGGGGAGGGGGGGGTTGGGGTTTGGGGTATCTCAACTACACCGTCTCTGACCAGGTCAGAAGCACCTGAAGCCCAACAAAGCCCTTACAGTTTGTAATTAGTCTAGCATTCACGCAAAACACTCTTAGCCTCTGCTTTCTGGCCTACATTTTCGGAGGTTGCAAGGTGTTCATCCCATGCAAAGGGGCAGGCTTCAGGTAACTTGCCACAACAGAGAATCAAAGGCGTAGGTCAGGCCTTGCCTGCTGATGGATACTGCGGAAAGAGACTTTGAGTGACAAGCCTCCTCTTAGAATCCTATTATGTCAGGATCGAATCAGGATCCATGTTGTCTGAGACTTCCCTCACTGTGCCTTGAACCTGAAGCTACGAACGTCGGATGTTGCTTCCCTAGTCTTTTCCCAAGCCCCAAGCCCTACCTGAAACTTCCAACGCCTACGTTGTTAAAGCATAGCCATTGAATCCTGAAAGACCAGATTTTTGCAGGGTTTCAGGTGCACTCTGCACGTGTGTGATCCGCAAAGACGGGAGGGCTGGTGCATTATCTTCGACCTGATCTGTCGAGACTTCAAGCTCCTGGCAACAACGTCGGGCTTAGGGTTTAGGGTTTATAAGTTCAGGGCTTAAGGGTTTAGGGGTTAAGGGGCTTAGGGTTTTAGGGTTCAGGGTTTAGGGGCTTAGGGCTTTGGGTTTAAGGTTTAACCGTCTTTGTCATCAAGTAGGGTTTCGGGGTGTATAAGTCATACAGTATGATTCTAAGGGGAGTACACGGGAATATTGCTAGTACTGATCCTTTTGCCGAACCCCTTTTGGAGGCGTTCTCTTGGGTTTCTATTTGTTCGAGAACCAGGGTTCCGATTACTTACTCTACACCTTAAACCCTAAACCCCAAACCCTAAACCCTAACCCCAAACCCGAAACCCTAAACAATAAACCCTAAACCATTGACACCCTGACCCTGGATTTCCCCGACCCTATTCGGCTCCAAAGACTCGTGTATTGAGGCACGGTGGGCAGGAAGTCCTGACTTTCTGAGGTTTAGGGTTTAGGGGTTTTAGGATGTAGGGGTTGGGGTTTAGGGAATTTCGGGCAACTTTTAGTCTTTGGGGAAACAATGTGCAAATAGACTAGGTAGCAGTGCAAGGGTAAATGTTTAGAGCTTTAGGGCTCTGAGATGTCAGCCGACGGCATGAGAACGAGTTGTTTACTTTGTAGGGTTTAGGATTTAGGGTTTGCCTTGGGCTGCGGCTCAGGAAAGAGTTTGTTGAAACACATGGCTCCTAGAGCCCACAGAATCTTGGGGAGTGGTCCCAGTGACGTCCGATTACAAATCCCAAATGCTGCAATAGTCCATAGCCCAGATCCTCATCTGCGAATAGTCTCTCTCCATTGCAGTTCCTTTTTTGGTTTAACCAATTGTATATTAAGGATCCTACAAGGAAACCGCAAAAAGGAACTACAATGGAGATTGTAGGTAGGCCCCCATCGGTCATTTAAAAGGCTGGAATTAAGTTACACTCTTGAAGCTTAATCCCCAAGACCCCAAGATCATCAATCTCCCTGATAGATCTGGCCTAACATGCAACTAATAAACTGTAGACCCTACATCCCACTCCACCTCTTGAGCTCAGACCCTGAGTTGTGGTATGTAATAACCTGCCTGACCCGGTGCTAGGATAGTAAAGGAACCAAAAGAGGGTATTACTCGTGAGGGTCCTGGGTCTGGCAGGGGGCATCCATGAGAAATTTTAGAGGGTTTAGGGTTTAGGGTTTCTGATACCCTACACCCTAAACCCTAGGACCTAAACCCTAAATCAGCCAAGCCGCTGGATGTTGGGACTACCAGGATTTGCCGGGGCGCTGAATGGGGAGGTCCCCTAAACTCTAAACCCGAGATCCCTTAAAGCACCCTAGGAATTATAAGCCAGATAGAGCTCCCCAACTGCAGAAAGACAGTGTAGAGGCCTGTATACTTAGAATACGGCTTTGGGGTATACCACGGTATTGAGGTTGTTGAAGGGGCTATGGCTTTAACAGAAGACGCTTATGAGTTATTCCGACTTAAACACTAAACCCTGCACCCGAAACACAAAGGCCTCCCAAAGGCGGGAAGATAACAAAGACCTCGGAGGCAGAAAAGTCGATTTCTATGGGCTTAAAATGGCTTGAATAACGGTTATGGGGCGTCTCGGTTTTAGGGTTGGGTTAAAGGGTTGAGAGTGTCATAAGGGTTGTTGTTGAGGTTGCACGGCTTGAAGACGATTGAACAGGCTTTCATGCGGGTTTGGGAAGTTTTATCATCAAGGCTGTGCAAAGAATTGGCTTCAAGGGCTTCTCGCAAGCACTGTTTTAGATTTTGCCTGTGGTGGGTCCGTATGTTAACGATGCTAATTAGCCTCATTGCCGCCCCTTTTCTTCCGAAGGCCCCGATGTTGATTTACACCTCTGGGGTTGTTGTGGTGTGGACCGTTTCCCACTGCTAAACTAGCGCGAAAAGCAGCTAATCTGGAGTTTACGCTTTGGGCATGGCATATGGGCAGTTCTTGATTAACCAACCGCCACTACAAAGTCTGACGGGATAAGTTATGATCCTATAAACAGTTGGATACAGTAGGCTTAAGCTAAGGTGGGGATGGGAATTTGGGGCGGCGAGCTAGGTATCGGGGCGTACACGAGTCAGGGCAACGCCTAGGGCTGCAGGGTAAGAGCAACTACCCTACAGGTTCAAGTGCCCCATTCTATACTCTCCAACAACCTGAGCCGAGATGCATTGCGAGTATCCTTAACCCCAATACCTACCTGTAACTCTCTTTGCCTGCAGTTTAGCAGCCATTACTACTTAATTAGTAGGTAGAACCCATAAAACTGTAGGTAATTAGAGTCGCGTAAGTACCGAGACCCGAAACCCTAAATCCCAACACCTTATTCGGAGCTTTGGCCCCTGACGCTACCGATGAAGGTTCTGGTTAACGATTCGGGTTTTCCAGAAACCTACCTTTTCAGGCTGTACATGGGAAAAAAAAACAAGGAACCCGAAAAAGATATATTCTTTAGGGTGCATGTGTGGTTCCGGACGAAATCGGGACCGTTGTGAAATCAAGAGTCTCATGAGTAGATGTCCAAAAATTGCGTCGCCAACAGCCACCAGACTGATAGCTTATATAAACTTTCTCAGAATAAGACTATGTAACTTAGGATAGGAGACCCAAGCGCGTAACTGTTGGATCTTGGGCCACTTGGCCAAAAGGATATACGATCAAGCGAATATCTGACACGATGCGAAACGAAGGGAGGTTGACCGATGCATCGTCATCTTTGCCATTGCCATCAGCAGCCCCTTCACCATAATCATCATCAGCTGAGAAGCAGCAGCATCAGTGGCAGCATGACTTAGCATCGTGACTAGAGTTGGCACGAGCATGACCTGTCGATACGGTCATACTGATGTCTTCAACAGAGAATACAAACGGAGAACAAACAAATACACATTATTTTGTAATGCCATAGCTAACTGGTTAGCTAAACACCTACATGTTACAAGTCATACTTGGTGGACCAGCGGGCTCGAGTTAATTGATTCTCCCAGAGATTAGCAAACTATGCGTCGAATCACATTGACATGAATTATAATTTTGTTCAGTTGCCGATACTGCATATTTACTTGTTCACATGTTGACTTGCTTGCTTTTTATTGCTTTCCGACCATGTCAGTAGGGCAGTATTTGATGGTGTATCTGATGTATCTGTTGACTTTGAATAAGTACGTACTCAATACAATCAACCAACGAAGCATCGAACGCAAATGTGAATGGAACTGCCCAGAAGAACAATAACAGGAATAGTCACAATACCAAGATCAGAAATGCTGATCACGGTTACAATGCTGTGTATCCATGGTAGCAATGCTCGTCAACATGACAATCATGACCGTCTTCGGCTTCATCATGTTCACGAGTCGCTCTCGGTTTAGGACCAGCTTCATCGTCCCCAGAAATAAGATAAACACATCCTCACCAACATAGCCAACATCGCCCTGACCCTTAACATGGCCATGGTCCTTTTCATCATCATCCTCACCATCATCATCATCGTTGTCATCATTACCTTCATCATCACCATCTTGATCGTCACCATCTTCCTCATCAACATCCTCATCTTCATCTTCCTCCTCCTCTTCATCGTGATGTCTATCTTCACATGCGGGGTTTCCGGGCTTAGGGCCGAGGGCTGAGGAACTGAGTCTTGTTGGTTGAGCGCTAGGTGGAATTAGGACTCTGTATGCCGTCTTGGGATCTATCTTGGGGTTCCCCAACATGACAAGGGTGATTAAAGGTTGAGGAGGGTTGTCGCGATTCGACGTCCGCACATTGCAAAACCTGCACTTTCCACCCAACATCCCCCATCACCCCGCCAAGTTTAATCGTGCAAGATCTTTGTCCTTGGACAGCTCAGCATGCTCAGAACAGTCCCAAATCCTTGAGGCCCACCTATCCGGCGGGCGGTCGAAAACGAAAAGAAAACACTCTGTCGGGGGCAGGCTGTACTAATCCAGGGCAGCTGTGAGGGTTGAGGAAGAATGTATCATGTTGGTAACGGGTCTTTATTCTATTTTACGAAAAGTCTCGGGTTGTTCAGAAAAAAGTTCGGGCTCATAGACGGTAGGGCTTGGTTTTCCGGGAGGCCCCCACCTCTCTGAAATCTGCGGATATCGCTCAGCCCGACAGGCTTCCTTAAGGGTCCATGTACCCGAATAGTATACACTTTTGGCCCCAAAGGTGTACCTATAGTACTATGTTACTATATAGTGCTATTTAGGGACTACGTTAATTTTAAAGCCAAAAGTATACATACTACTTGGGTGCATGGACCCTTTGGGTCTGGGGCCTACGGAGACCATTTCAGACCGGTCTTCTCCTCTGAGATTGTCCATAACTTCTTTGCTGCCTCCCACAAGGGAGGGTTTAGGGCTTATGAGTCGAGGGTTGAGACGTGCGGCTTGAGGCGTAAAGGCGTAAAGCTTCAGGGCGTATTATTGGCCTTCAGCACTCCGAAAGCTAGTAGACAAAGCCGTCGAAAATACAGGCTTCCTATCCTGGGGGCACAAACTTAAAAACTCGAGGTTGGGGTTTAGGGTTCAAGACCGACGGTTGGTAGCTCATGCCTCTGCATCCAATGCATGTGGCTCCAATTTGCACTTCCCGACGGGGCCAACCATCTCCATCCGCTGAGTCGGGCCATAGTACCTGATCCACTCCCCTTATAACGTCCAGCGGCCAAACGATACTTGGATGTAAGATATTAGTAACTAGTACATGGATTCAGTGGTCCCCCAGGTGACTCGAAGAATATTGGACCCCCTAGAGCTCTGGGAGCTTGCCAAGCTTCTGAGGTGGCGAAGGGTCTTTAGGGCTCTTCGGCTTTTTCTGCTGCGACTGTTCGCTTGTACTGGCTTTAGTGTAGGGTTTCAGGCTCGTTGGAAGCTGAGGGTTTTTGGAGTTGACGGGCATGCTCGTGTGTAAATCCGCGGTAAGGGGATGGAGCACCCAAGCAGCTGAGGACGCACAATCCGATTTTGCGAAGAGGCATGTCTTAGCGATGAATGTAAGAGAGCAACAACAGGTCAGCGTGTTGGTCTCCCACCAACTAGTTATATGTCCTAAGCACGTAAGCCCTGACTTAAGGTCTAAAATCCTGAAGAACATCTTACGAGCACCAGTCTGCACAGTTTCTAAAGAAGCCAAGAGTACGTCTCGGGGAGTAGGTTGTCCTCCGTGGCACACATCACTTCGGGCCATGAACCATGTTCAGCACTCTGGCCCAAGGGAGAAAACAAGGTCAGCATGGTCCTTGGAAACCATCGACCATGCTTCGTAGTCAGGCGCTCAACATGTTGTCTGCTGTGGGGAGTTTGGGGTTCTAGATTTAATCTTCCGGTGGCTCAGAGCTTCGAGTATTGGGCATCGGTGTCTCGCGCTCATCACAAGTCATACGCTTATCCTCAAGTTTCACAACGAAAAGCTTGCGTGTGCAAAGGGTGCATTGGCTTCCTGAAGGCTTGTTCATGTGTGTTCTATAAGAAGGCAAGCACTACCATAGATACCTCTATGCTATGCCGCTTTCGTCCTGAACCGTGCCAGGCTGTCTCAAGTTACAGAAGTCTTCAAGCGCCACTAAGGCGCTGCATCATGCAGCTGACATCATCGTCTTTAGCCAGCTCGGTTCGCGAGGCACCCGGGTGGCAGACCTAAAAAGCTCAGGCAGGGTACGTAGTCGATGCTTCCATTTAGGGGTTTGCGGCTCCGAGGCCCTTTAGCACTCAACTCTGATCCAGTCGTCGTGCTTGACGATGTAGTTGCCAAGCGGCATGCCCTGAAAGCTGTTCGGTCTATTGAAACGCTGAACAAAACTCACCCTGAACCCGAAACAGCCAAAATGCCTTGCAAAAGCCCAGATGCCCACAACAGGTACAGGGCTTCATATGCTAACCCTAAACAACCGAACCCACCAAGGGTACTTCATCATGGCTCCTGACACAAAGGGTCCTACGAGTTTACGTTTAGATTTCGTTCTTGGGGCCCAAGTTTGCGATCGAGGGTTCCGGGTTTAGGGTTGAGGTTTAGGCTTCAGGGTTTAGTAGGGTTTTTGGCTTCGGGTTTAGGCTACAACCGGCCTGGACCTGCAGATTCTTTCCAGCTGCTCGTACACGCCTTTGCAGCTCGTAGCCAAAGATCATTTGAGCCAGCTTGCTCTGGCAGTACACAGGGAAGTCCTGATAACCTGACGTCTCCGCAAAGCTTTGTTTCTAGTGTGGCTCAGGGGACTTAGCAAGCAGGTCCTCCTTGCCGGTGGTAAGTAATGTACTGGGTCTTATCCTGATTAAAACCCGACCAAACCGGCTGAGTGCATCTCTTAGCCCCTGTCGAAGTTGAGGTCGTCGAAATTCATCTTCCTGAGGCCCATGTTGTACCCGTTGCTTCCTTCAGGGCCCGGGGGGAGCAGGGATGGGATCGGGAGTTCAGGTTTGGGTACCGACGGACTCGGGCGGAGCGATGCGAAGCGCGGAGGGTCGCGGAGGTTTGAGGCTTTCGTGGGCCGTCACGCCTACCACGACAATCCGACCGTTCGACTTCTCGACCCGTTCGTAGAGCAGACCACATAGCAGGAAGTGTGCGAAGTGGTTCACGCCGAGCTGGCTCTCGAAGCCGTCTACCGTCAGCTTTTGCGTGGATACCTGGCAAGCTGATGCCACGAAACCACTACAGGTATACTAGCACAAGGATTCCCAACGCAGCAGGATTTTTGTCCTCCTTGCTACCTCAGCAGCATGGCTAGACTTCGAATCCCAATCTAAGAGTACCACTCTAATCCCAACGAAACCCTAAACCCTAAACCCTTACACCCTGAACCCTAAACCCTTGCACTCTAAACCCTAAATGCGACCCTACCGGTACCGCCCCAGGTGGTAACAAAGAGCTGCCCCGAATCGACCTCACGCTTACAAATCGGGCAGCTCCTGGAATTGAATGCAGGGGCCTTAAGAATTATACCAGGGCTTTGAGGGTATATTATCGTAACTCTCATTATAATAAGGGCCCCCAAGAAAAACACATTGTATATAGGTAAACTACTTCTATGCCCCATACTGGGCTCCAGCGAACTATATATCTTGGAGCGGCTTGAAGCCTGAAAGCCCAAAGCAAGGAACCGCAAGAACCCCCGAAGCTTCCGTTGAAGCTAAAGCGACACTTATACCTGGAGCCCCAAAAGTATGTAGAATAGTAGCCTCTACTCCCAAAAGTATGCAGAATAATAGCCTCTTATAGGTTTTGGGCCTTTTTTTGTGACTTGGTTTTGGGGGGTTCAGGTAAGGCCCCTCAGAAAGAGGAGGGGAGTGTAGCGGGACTCGCCTAAACTCAGACTCTAGATCTGCGCAAGGCCACTGTCAAAGCCGTGCCAATATAGCATGCGGACCATCCTTTCCTAAATTTCTGATTCAAGGAACATGGGTATTTCAAAGTGTAGCTGCAAGGCGACAGTAACTCTGCCTGCGACGACGGCTGATTACGCCAATTCCCCACAATATGACAATCTAGCCGACGTTGGCTGTTCCAACCTTGTCCTCAAGCCTCACTTGCTCTTAGGGCAACACTGAGTTTTGGGTTTGCGGTTTAGGACATCCTGACTACCCGATCATGTCAGCCCGAACGCTTCCCAGGACCATGGAGCCTGTGCAATGGCGGCATTGCAAATCAGCGCATCGATCTTGGGCACCTGTACTTCGGACGCCACAGCCCAGCTAAGTAAGTGTGCCCAGGCGGGATTGAACTTTGAACTCATCTCTATAGAACGGGTTTTATAATGAGGGTTCTACAAATAGGGCTCTACGAGTAAGGCTCCGATGACAAAGTGGGATTCAGTGTCGAAGTGTAGTGTCTGGAGCATGTGGGCGTGCTACTGGGCTCAACGCTGAACTATAACTCATACGAGACAAACCTCCGACCTCCCAAAGTAGTCGGCCCTGCCTCATCCTCGGGGTCCTACACTCAACTTAGCTTTTATGGTTTAAGGGTTTGGGGCTTGGGGTTTTCGTCGAGGATTCTTCTAAATCCAACTTGGGGTTTAGGGGTAAGGGCATTTAGGTTTTAGGCTTGAGAGGGGTTTGTTCGAAGGGGGTAACCCGTCAAGCGCTCAAAACACCCTCAGACTACCTAGATGCAACTACAGCAGACCCCTGTTAACAAACAACAATTTGCATGACCCCTGATGAAGCCTTACATAAACACAGCAGAAACTCAAACAGACCTGCCGATACAATAGCCGCCAATGATATACGTGAAGGCTCAGGGAATGCAGCGTTTAGGTTATACTTCAGGTTGTAAAGTTGTAAGTGCACCCGAAAAGGGGTTGTCCAAATAGCTGTCACAGTTTGTACGTAGCAGGGCCCGACACACAGATTAGGTTTTGGCCGTACAAGGCATATGCTCCATGTCCCGAAACCCTGCACCCTCAACCGAGCCTGTGCCAGCACGGCCTTGGCGGCCTCACGCACTGATGAAAGCACAGCAAGGTCCATGGTGATGGCGCTTACCTGCACGTCTGGGCCGATCTCCTTGCGGTGAGGGCATAGGGTTTCGCTTGTCAACCCTAAACCCTAAACCCTCAACCCTGAACCGTAAACCCTAAACCGCGTGGATGTCTTACAGAATCGAAGGGTCCAAGTACCCGATTACTGCGCACTCGGGTCCCCAAATAGTCTCTGAATGGCTTCATTAGCTATCTCAAAAAACCCTGGGAGCCTTGGGGAAAGTTACGGCCTCGGTGATTTTAGAGGCGGATTTGTGTTGGTTTTCCTGGCTTAACGGACTTTGAGGTTTACAGCAGGTTCGGACTCAGGATCATAGCTTTCAAGACTTCCTTCGAATAGGAAAGCCTCGACCCCTGAAACACCCAAAACCCCGAAGCCGTAAAACAAACCCTAAGTCCAAACCCTTTAAAAACCCTATAGTGTAGGGGCCTTAATAATTAGAATATGGTTTTGGGGGTTTCCTTATTGTAATTAGAAAAAATACACCCCCCAAAACCTTATTATAATTGCTAAGCCCCCTATATTAAAGCCCAAAACCTTAAACCCTAAACCCTTAAACCCTAAACTCGAAGTGTGTAAATCGGAAGCCCTACAGGCTTACGTCTCCTTCACCTTCCCTGAGAGCCCAATGCCCCTGAATTAAGCGGTTTGGGGTTCTAGGGTTGAGGCTTTAGGCATTAGGGTTTAGGGTTGAGGGTTTAGGGTGCAGAGTTGGGGTTTGAGTGTTGAGGGTTTAGGGGTTAAGGGTTTATAGGGTAACTTAGGCAATATAGGGGGTTACTATGGTTTACAGTGTAATTATTCCTTGATTCAGCGGTGTTGTGCCTTTAACAGAAAAAGCTTGGGAAGTCGATAACTAAATTGAAAACGAGGGATCCTTGCGGTACTTCTCCATGACCTGCCCGGAGCGCTCCGCGCTGCGGTTCAGCATCAGCACCTGGGCGCCCTTGGAGAGAAGAAGCTTCGCGGCCTCGTAGCCACAACCTGTGGTGGTTCCGGTGATGACATATGTCCTTACTCCAAGGAAAGCCCAACTCTAGGAGACTGTCTTTGTCTTAGGATGGCCGTGCGGTTGCGCGTATCTTCGCATCCGTTGCCTCACGGCTCTAGTGCGCTGTGCCAGACAAAGACCCGAAAAGTCAAAAAGGCTCCCGAGAGATTGCGCAAGCGTCTTGCCAGCAAGAGATCCGAGTCTGTCCGGGGTCCAGCCATCAGGCCCGAATGGATTTGTCTCTTGGCTCTGCCCACCGCCCATCTCGACAAACTTAAGGACAGAACCCTCTTTGAGCTGCGTGCCTTCTGGTCATGAGTGCATCTGTGCGCATCAACCCTGAGCTTGTTGTGGTATTAATATCAGACTTGTCATGTCTGTCTAACTACCTAAACAGAAAACGAAGGAGCCTGAACCAAACATCCTGTGCCTCGAAAAGCCGGATCCCATAAACCTACCCTAAACCCTAAACCCCTACACCCTAAACACCCAAAACTGAAAACTAAACCCATCCTTCGAAAGTTGGCTTCGAGGAAACCCTAAGGATTCCTGAAGCAACTCTCAGGCCCATGATTATGTGATTATGCTTGGGCCTTAAAGGGATATAATAGGGTTTAGGGTTTAGGGTCTAGGGCTTATAGGGTTTAGGGTTTAGGGCTTCTAGGGTTTAGGGTTTAGGGCTTAGGGTTTAGGGTTGAGGGCTTAGGGTTCCAACTCCTCAGCCTGCACCGAGCCAGCGGCTAGTGTCAGGTCAGTTGCTGGAAGATGAAGCCCACGCAGCAAAGCAAGACCACAATGAGGACCTGGGGTTTGGCGCTCATATGGGCAGTTCTCTAAACTAGGGTCCCTCTTGGGGTCCCTTCTTATGAGGGTGCCCTACTGTAGTTGGGATCTAAACTGGGGCCCCAGCTTAGAGAACTGTCCATATGGCTTAGGGTTTAGGGTTTAGGGAGTTGTGGGCTGATAGGATTCAGGGTCTAGGGAGCTCAGGGATCATAGAATTCAGAGTTGAGGGTTTCTGGAGTTCAGAGCTACTAGGATTTTTGGGCTTAGGGATGAGGGATTGTGGGCTTGCAGTTCAGAGTTTAAAGCTTGGCATTCTGCGTCTGAGGCTTGTAGACACGAGATCGGAAGCCCTAAGCCAACAAGCTCCCAATTGACGCAGTTTTTTTTTTTTTGGGGGGGGGGGGTGGCTTCTGAGCTTCTGGTAAAGGTGCTGAGTTTGAGGTCCGAAACCTTGAACCCAAACCCTAAAGCGCTACAGTGACCTAAGCAACAAACCCCAAGCCCTAAACCTCAAACCCTCGACCTCTCAGACATAAACTTTGTTCTCTTGAAGCCCAAAACCGCGATCAGCTGGACAACGAACCTATACCCTAAACCCTATATCCTAAACCCNNACCCCTAGGCCCTAAACCCTAAAGTGTGAAACCCTGAGCTTTCCCCCCCAAAAAAATAGCTAGGACCGAAGGGCCCATGCGAATGGTACCTAGTACCTATACTTCTGCAACAGGTTCATACCTAGGCCTTTCCTCGGGCTCCCCATGTGGTCTCTTCAGAGTCAAGAGGTCTACTACACACTGGGACCTGAAATAAAGGCCGACGATTTTCCCGGAGGAAGGAAGCGTCAGTTGCTATCCTACACCCATCTAAACCCCACACGCTTAAACCATATCAAGCCCTACATCCCTAACCCCACCCCCGCAACTCCAACTAAACCCCGAAACCCTAACCTGCTACGAGTAGGGTAGGCAAGCTGGGAGCATCAAGATGAATGAATTCCGACATCCTGGAATAGCCCAACCTGGGAAGCCCAACAACTACCTTTTTTTGAGGAGGGGGGGGGGGGGGGGGGTGAGGGTGGGTTTAGGGTTTAGGGTTTAGGGAGGAAGGGGGGTATGCTCTACTAACCTTGCTATTTCGTGGGGTTTGGCACTACAGGGAAGACTGACTCTAAGAACTCCTGTTTTGTCTCGGCTCTTTTGGGGTGTGGGGGGCTGGGTCAACCAAAACCTACCATGGGAACTTGCATAATGTTGGAACATAGCTGTCCTCAGGCCCATTCAGCCAAGCTTTCGTAGAAAACCTCATAAACTCATTCATGTAGAAGCCTGCATTACGAGGTACTTTGCACCCTACAACAAGTCTGCGGGGCTATTTTTGAGCCTTGGGAGCACGGTGCGGATCCGGTCTTGACCATTTCGAGGTTAGGAGTTTCGGGTACACCCTGCCCGCCAAACCCAGTATCCCCAAGATTTTAGACGCCTCCTGCAGGGGATTTGAAGCACCACAGCAAATTGCAGCCACGTGACAAGTTGACAGCAGCAGTGTGTGTTTTTCTCATAGCGCATGACCTCGTTCACGTGCCTCGGCACGAGTCGATCCGAGAGTGTCGGGAAATTAAAGAAGCCACCACCTTGAAAAGACACCCCTACTTTGCTGAAGTTCTGAAATTCTACCCCTCAGAAAACTTCGAGAAAGATACTATTTTGGGTCCTCGGAACTCGTCCTTTTCTGGAGTCTCCACCGGTCCCAGCATTGCAATGCAAGTCTAAACTCCATCGACGCCCGCAAACCGAGAGCCCAACTAAGCCATTTCAATCCTGAAACCAAACTTAACTAAGCGCCAGATCCAAAACCTGCAATCTCTCATTCCTGAACGAATCAATCCAAGCAGCCGATTCAACTGCTGGATGTCTCCCTCTGTTTTGTCCACCTCCGCGCCCAGGGCCTGCGACAGAGTGCGAGATGAGTTCATGATTGAAACTTAGGCTTCAGGGTTCTGGGTTCATGTCAGCGTTCGTGGTTTCCGCAAGGAGAAACGTGGATGTGCAGACATTCAGCTTGCACTTTACTAGGGCCACTAGGGGTGACAGGGAGAAGCGTTTTACGTGTTTCTTTGCTGGATATTGAAACTGACAAGAACACATGTGTTCATGTCTTCTTCTTCTTGTACTTTTGCCCCTTCTTTTTTACTGGTAAGCATGAAAATAGTGATGACATCTAGCAATCTAGCTGCATTACAGGTTCAGCCGAGCACAGCAATAGCATAACTGACATCATCCATAACAATCATCTTGATGTTGCATCATTCACAGCAACAAGTACTACACCAAAAACAGAGCCGCATAATCCAGAACAGCACTGCTACACCAACAATAATATCGAATGACATGGCGGAAGGAAAACGGCAACACTGGCAATAATTCAAGAACACAAGAACCACGACGACGACCGACAGACCGACCGACCCACGACGACCGCGACCACGACGATCACCACGACAACCAGCACCACGACAACAACAACCACCACCACCTCCACCACCTCCACCACCTCCACCACCACGACAACAACAACGACATTTATAAGAACAGCACCAACAACAGCAACAGCAGCAACAGCTGCAGCAGCAGTAACAGCAACAGCAACAGCAACAGCAACAACAACAACGACAACAACAACAACAAAAGCAACGAAATTTATAAGAACAGCGCCAACAACAGCAACAGCAGCAACAGCAACAGCAACAGCAACAACAGCAACAGCAACAGCAACAGCAACAACAGCAGCAACAACAACAACAACAACAGCAGCAGCAGCAGCAAAAAACAACACCACAAAAACAACATGAACATCGAAGAAGCAATCAACAACACACGACCACAGGCACAAAGACCACGACAACGACAGCAACAACAACCACTGAGAATAAGAACAGCAAGCACAACAACCATAATGCTCTCCAACATGACCAATGTAGGGGCCTCCGAAAACAGACTATAAAAGGTTCTGGGGTAGATTATCGTTCATCCTACGCCAACTATCCAAAAATAGTGTTAGATATTAGTTCTTCAAACCTCGTTGATTACAAAAAATAAATACTCCTTCAAGGAGAAGAGGAGGCCTCGGCCCGAAGACGATGGCGTTCGGCTGTCTGTCCTGGCTCGCTATGGAGCCGCTCTTGTTTGGGGTTTGGGGGTTTAGGGTTTAGGATGGTTTAGGGTTAAACCCTGAACCCTAAACCCTAAAACCCTAAACCCTAAATTTAGGGTTTAGAGTCTCTGATTTTGACTTCTGAATCTTTCCACTACGAGGCACCCGCGTTTCCAGCTTTTTTGGTGCTGTGGGGTTTTCGGGGGTTTGGGGTCTACGAAGTTCAGGGCTTGGCCTGTTGAGCTTAGGTGAATGGTGTCTTAGGTCTCTTGGGTGTAGTATACTATACTAGAATGTACTATACCACTATGCTGTGCTATAATACTATACTATACTATACTATGCTGTACTTTGTGGAAGGCAAGTTCGAGATGCTTCTCTGCTGCATACGGCATCACAACCTGGCCATTTTCTTCCACATGTCCATCACAGCCACCTACTTCCAAATGTCACTCGTCATACTCGTCGACAAATTAGTCCTCACCAGAATCACAGGTATTGTTATCCCAGACCCCAAACCTTAAACTGATCAACGACCTACCCACAACCCTGAAACCCTGAAACCCAGGTTTTGTAATCCTACACCCTATATTACCCCTATTCTAAAGCCTAATCAACGACCTACCCATAACCCTACAACCCAAGGCTTCGACCCCCCGAAACCCTAAACCCTGAACCCTAACTCCGTCGACCCAGATACTCTCGGCTCGAAGCCTCTCGTCACAACATGCAAGCAGCCCCCCCCACCCAGCCGTGTCCGTGACTGTGCTCCCGTTGAGGGACTTTTAGTTGTGGTTCTGCAATAGGGGCCTTGTCATAGAAATTCTGCCTTTCTGCCTATGGAATCTCGGATCATTCATATAGCGACCCTACTACCCTAAACCCTAAACCCCTAAACCCTAAACTGACAGACTTTCGTCTTTGGAGCCTCCGGCAAATGCCGAAGACCGATCTGTCCTTCAACTGCGTCCTACACGCACAAGGCCTACTTCTATTAATGAACTCTTCTGAATGGCACTATAGTATAGTATAGTATGGCATAGGTTTAGGGTTTAGGATTCTCGCGAACCGCCCCAATACAACGTAGTGCACGGGAGGCCTCTTGCTAAGCCGACCTTACTCCGTTCTGAAACTACCCTACAGTTTAGCAGCCATTACCCCTTACTTAGTAGGTAGAACCCATAAAACTGTAGGCAATTAGAGTCCCAGGTAAGTTTACAAACGATGCTACAAGAGCAGGCAGCGGTGCCTATTTGACGCGCCAAGGGATCCAGTCTCCCAACCGCTTGGCCCAACTGCAGCAGCTTTGTCAGGCGGCTTGAGGGGTT